GTTTGGGGGTGTCAGAAGGGCTGTGAGGGGAGTGGGGGTCTGTCAGAGGAGGTTTGGGGGTGTCAGAGGGGCTGTGAGGGGTGTTGGGGTCTGTCAGGAGGTTTGGGGGTGTCAGAGGGGCTGTGAGGGGTGTTGGGGTCTGTCTGGAGGTTTGGGGGTGTCAGAGGGGCTGTGAGGGGAGTTGGGGTCTGTCAGGAGGTTTGGGGGTGCGCTGAGGGGGAGTTTGGGGGTCTGGGGGTGTGGGGGGAGCTGTGAGGGATTATTTGGTTTATGTGGGTCACCGAGGGCTGTTGTGGGGGGTTTTGGGGGGCACAAAGGCTTGAGGGGGTGATTCGGAGGTACCCAAACGTTTTCTGGGGGGGTCTGGCTGGGATTTGGGACCCCTCTGTCCCCGCAGTGGTGGAGCTGTGCCTGAGCCACAGGCTGGACCCGGTGGCCTTGGCCAACGAGCTGCTGGCCTTCGTCACCAGCAAAGACCTGGACCTGCAGCTCACCCCCGAGGGCCTGGACGCCTTCGAGCACGAGGTGGGGGTCCCCAGTTCCCAGCTCCTGGTTTCCCCAGAGCCCCCGGGATGGCGGGGAGCACTCGCCATCCCCCCAACCCTGTCCTGCCGCCCCAGGTGCTGGCCAAGCGCGGCAGCCGCGGCCGGCGCGGGCGGGACGAGCGCCGCGGGCTCCTCCACGACATCCACTCGCTCCAGGAGCTGTATCCCTCATCCCGAGGTGATCCCGAGGACATCCCGACATTCCCCGGAGATCCCGAGCCCTTTGGGGGGGGTCTGGCAGAAAGTGGGGTGCCGTGAGCTGTCACAGATCCCCCGCAGGGGGCTGGGAATGGGAGGAATTCTTGGATTTGGGGCTCCTGGGGGGGGTTTCACCCCAAACCTGCAGCGTTGGTGCCCCTTAACGCGCACCAGCCTCGACGAGGAGCAGGAGGACGAGCTGCTGGACGCCTACACCACCCCGTCCAAGGTGGGCACCGCCCCAAAGCCGCGGGGCTTGCCTCCAGAGCAGCCTGGGAATGTCCTTTTGCTGCGCCTGTTCCCTGCAGGGCTCCCAGAAACGCAGCAACTCCACCCCGGAGACGCCGCGGCCCAAGCGAGCGGCGCCGTCCCGCAGCCCCTACGGGCTCTTCTCCCCCAGCAGCTTCTCCCCGAGGTGGGTGAGGGGCCTGGGGGGCTTCCCTGAATCCCTTTTCCCTCTTTTCTTCCTTCCTTCCCCTTAAAATCACACCATTATGGAAGATGGAGCCTTTTGAAGCTCTGTAAATTTAGGGGGGGGCATGGTTAAATTCCCACTGACCTCCTTGCAATCACAAAGTCTTTAAAGTTACAAACACTTGTGTTTAAACCTCGTTAACCTGTTAAAACGCCCTGCTCACAGATCAGGGAATTCATCCCTCTAAGCTCCAATTTATCATTTCGTGCTCAGAACAGGAGATTAACCCAAAACCTCACCGAGTTTCAGGGTGGGACAAGCGCAGGCCTGAACCAGCCCTGTTTTTCGTGTCCCCACAGTGTCACCCCCTCCCAGAAATACTCGTCCCGTGGGGGCCGGGGCGAGGTCGTGGCCTCGCTCGGCTCCGGCCAGGGCCTGGCCTGGCGCGGCCGCGGCGGCTGCGGCGTCACCATCTTCGGCCACCCCGAGCAGAGCCTCAGCAAACCCTACAAGAGCATGTTCCAGAAGGCGCTGGACGTGCGGGAAGGTGGCACCGGCACCCCGGGGTGGGGTCGGGGGGTGTTGGCGACATCGGGGTCACCTTGGTGGGGTCAGGGTCAGGGGTCAGGGGGTGTTGGTGACACCAGGGTCACCCTGTTGGGGTCAGGGGGTGTTGGTGACATCGGGGTCACCTTGGTGGGGTCAGGGGGTGTTTGTGACACCGGGGTCACCCTGGTGGGGTCAGGGGGTGTTTGTGACACCAGGGTCACCTTGGTGGGGTCAGGGGGTGTTGGTGATATCGGGGTCACCCTGTTGGGGTCAGGGGGTGTTGGTGACATCGTGGTCACCCTGTTGGGGTCAGGGGGTGTTTGTGACACCGGGGTCCCCTCCCAGCGCTGGCCGGGCGGGTGGAGGAGCTCGGGGAGGTCCTGCAGAGGCACCACGGCCTGGACAGCTTCAGCTCCGCTGTGCTCCCGGCTCAGGTGAGACCCCAGCCCCTGTTATGGGGTGAAACCCCCTCATTTTGGGGTGAAACCCCCCCATTTTGGGGTGAAACCCCCCCGTTTTGGGTTAATCCCCCCGTTTGGGGTTAACCCCCCGTTCGGGTCCCTAGGAGCCGGTGACGGTGCTGGGGCAGATCGGCTGTGACGGGAACGGGAAGCTCAACACCAAATCCGTGCTGCTGGTGGGGGACCGGGAGCACTCGGGGGGAGCCGAGGTCCCTCTGGACCTCTCGGAGCTTCTGGAATATTCCCTGTTCCCGGGACAGGTGCGGCTTTGGGGATCCCCCTTCCCTCCCTGCCCTCCCCAATTCCTGCTCCTTTTCCTTCATTCTTGCTTCTTTCCCCCTTTCCTGTCTTTTTTTCCCCAATCCCTGCCCTTTTTCCCAGTTCCTGCCCTTTTCCCCAATTCCTGCCCCTTTTTTCCTCAATTCCTGCCCTTTTCCCCAATCCCTGCCCCTTTTCCCCAATCCCTGCCACATTTTCCCCCAGTTCCCATCCTTTTCCTTGGTTCCCACGCTTTTTCCCGATTTCCCGCGGTTTTCCCCCAATCCCGGTGTCCCACAGGTGGTGGCCCTGGAAGGCACCAACAGCACGGGCAGGAGGATGGTGGTGACCAAGCTCTACGAGGTGACCCCACTCCCGGGGGGATTTGGGGTGGGATTGGGACATTTGGGGTGGGATTGGGGCATTTCTGGACCCTCCTGGTTTCCCACAGGGGGTCCCTCTGCCCTTCCACACCCCCACGGAGCCGATGGCAGGTGAGCCCTGGGGCCTTCACTTTTTGTCCCCAAATCCTCATTTTTTGTCCCCAAATCCCCTTTTTTTTCCCCCAAAGTGCCCTTTGGATTCTCCATCTCCCCCTTTTCCTTCCCCAGTCTCCCTTTCTGTCCCCAAAACTCCCTTTATTACCCCCAAATCCCTCTTTTTTCCCCTCTCAAACTCATTTTTCATCCCCAAACCCCCATTTTGGGATCCCAAATCTCCTTTTTTGTCCCTAAATCCCCCTTTTTTATTCTCCCCAAGCCACTTTTTCTCCTCATCCCTCCTTTTTTCCTCCCCACATTCCCATTTCCATCTCCCAAACCCTCCTTTTTGTCTCCAAACCGCCCCATTTTCCATCCCTGTTCATTCCTAAACGTCCCCCTTTTCTCCTAAACCCCCTTTTCTCCCCAAAAAAACCCTTTCTCCTAAAAAACTCCTTTTTTCTCCCTAAAACCCCCTTTTTTCTCCCCAAAAAACCCATTTTTTCTCCCCAAAAACCCCTTTTTTCTCAAAAATAATCCCATTTTTTCTCCCAAAAACTCCGTTTTTTTCCCCAAAACCCTCTTTTTTCCCCAGAGCAGAGGATGGTGCTGGTGGCCTGTGGCCCCTTCACGCCCTCGGACAGCATCACCTTCGAGCCCCTCAGTGACCTCCTGGAGGTTGTGGCCCGTGACCGCCCCGACGTTTGTATCCTGGTGAGGACAATTAACCTCATTAACCATGAATATTTAATTACCTCCATCGTTATTAACCCAATCCTGCACCCCTCACCCCAACCCCGCAGCCTCGAGACGCTTGGGAGGCTCCAAACCCTGGAAAATTCACAATAAAATCCCATCTCTGAGCCCCAAAACACCCATTTTTCACCCTGGGAGTGCCCAAAACCCCTCACTTTTCACCCAGCAATCCCCAAAATCCCCATTTTTCACCCCAAAGTGACAGAAAAGCTCAATTTTAAGAGCAAATGCTGCCCTCGGAGTCAAATCCTGATTCCCTGCCTGGGCACAATGCATCCGTTTCAGCAATTTCCACTTTTTGGTCTCATTTTGTCCTAAAATTTTAGGGGTGTGGGCTAAAATTGGGGTTCATCGATGAGAATTATTAAAAATTATCCTTTCTGGGCGGTGATTTGAAGTGACTCTTTGCTGCTTTTCCCCATTTCTCCGCAGTTTGGGCCGTTCCTGGACGCCAAGCACGAGCAGGTGGAGGTGAGGAGGGGTCCCCCCAAAACCCCCTCAATCCCTGCGGATCTGGGGCAGCAGCAGATCCCCAAAATCAGGGGAATTGTGCCAATCCCGCTGTTTTCCCCCAATTCAGAGCTGCCAGCTCCTGAGCCCCTTCTCCGACGTGTTCCGCCTCTGCCTCGGGACCATCATCGAGGGCACCAGGAGGTGGCCACGGAAACAGCCCCAAATTCCCCATCCCCACGGGGCTCTTTTTCCCCAAAAGTGCTGCTTTTCACCCCAAAATTCTCTCCTTTTTCCCTCCCGCAGTGCTGGCTCCCAGCTGGTGCTGGTGCCCTCGCTCCGGGACGTGTCCCACGACTTCGTGTATCCGCAGCCGCCCTTCTCCTTCCCCAACCTGCCCAAGGAGGACAAAGCGGTACCTGCCCCAAAATTCCGCTTTTCCCCCCCAAAAAATCCATTCCCAGCAGCTCCCCACCCCTCCTGGCAAACCCCAGCTGGGATTTGGGCTGAAATTCCCCTTTTTCTGCTGCTGCTGCTGCAGCTTCCAGGGGGACAAAGGATTTGGGATTGGAATTCCAGAGCTCCCAACGCCCCTCCCAGCCCTTTTTGGGTTCAAATTACTTCATTTAATGATTCTTTGTCCCTCAGGAGCAGATCTGACGTTCCTGCAGAAAATCTAGCTCGGCCCTGGGGATTTTGGGGAACATTTTGGGGGTTTAAGGGAAACTTGGTGGGATTGGGGCAGTTTTGAGGTGATTTAGGGCCAATTTGGGGCATTCCAGGGCAGATTTGGGGCATTCCAGGGTGGGGTTTGAGCATTTTAGGAGGTTTGGGGCATTCTGGGCTGGGTTTGGGGTGTCCTGGCTGGGTTTGGGGTGTCCTGGCTGGGTTTGGGGTGTCCGTGTGTCCAGCCCCGTGTCCGTGTGTCCAGCGCGTGCTCCTGGTGCCCGAGCCCTGCACCCTGGACATCGACGGCGTCATCTTCGGCCTCACCTCCACCGACCTCCTCTTCCACATGGGGGCTGAGGAGATCAGCAGGTGCCTCTTTTTTAACCTTTTCCCCCTTTTTTGGACCTTTTCTCCTTTTTGTTTAACCTTTCCCCTTCCTTTCTTTAATCTTTCCCCCAATTTTTTAGCATTTTCCCCATTTTTTCCCCATTTTTTCCCCTTTTCTCCTCTGCCTTTTCTCTCTTCCCTTCCCCCCCCAATCCCCTCTTTCCCCCTGTTTTCCTTTCCCATTTTCCCCTTTTTCCCCATCCTTTTTTTCCTGTTTCCTCCCTTTTCTCACCCATTTCCCTCCCCTTTCTCCCACAGCTCCTCCGGCGTCTCCGACCGCTTCACGCGGATCCTGCGGCACATCCTGACCCAGCGCAGGTGAGGACCTCCCAAAAACCCTCTTTCCTCCCCAAAAACCCCCTCTGCCTTCCCAAAAACTCCTCCGTCCTCCCCAAAACCCCCTTTTTTCTCCCCAAAACCCCCCCTGCAGTTTCTACCCCCTGTACCCGCCCTCCGAGGAGCTCAACGTGGACTTCGAGGCGCTGGCGGCGTTCGCGGCGCTGCCGGTGACCCCCGACGTCCTGGTGACGCCGTCCGAGCTGCGCTTCTTCGTCAAGGTCAGGAATCCAGCCCTGTCCCTGTGCCCGTCCCCTGTCCTTGTCCCTGTCCCTGTCCCCTGTGCCTGTCCCTGTCCCCTGTCCGTGTCCCCTGTCCATGTCCCCAATCTTGTCCCTGTCCCTGTCCCATCCCTCTCCTGTCCCTGTCCCCATCCCCGTCCCTGTTCCCTGTCCTGTTCCCCCATCCTTGTCCGTGTCCCAATCCTTGTCCCTTATCCCTGTCCCCATCCCTGTCCCATGTCCTTGTCCCTGTCCCCATCCTTGTCCCCCATTGCCTGTCCCTGTCCCCTGTCCTCTGTCCCTGTCCGTGTCCCCATCCGTGTCCATGTCCCCATCCCTGTCCCCATCCCTGTCCCTGTCCGCTGTCCCTGTCCCTGTTCCCTGTCCATGTCCCCATCCCTGTCCTCTGTCCCTGTCCGTGTCCCTGTCCGTGTCCGTGTCCCCATCCCTGTCCCCATCCCTGTCCATGTCCCCATCCCTGTCCGTGTCCGTGTCCCCGTCCGTGTCCCCTGTCCTCTGTCCGTGTCCCCGTCCGTGTCCGTGTCCCCGTCCGTGTCCGTGTCCCCATCCGTGTCCGTGTCCGTGTCCCCGTCCGTGTCCGTGTCCCCATCCGTGTCCGTGTCCGTGTCCCCATCCGTGTCCGTGTCCCCATCCGTGTCCGTGTCCCCGTCCG